TTGCAGTTTCCCAAGTGATTTCCACGTCACTAAGCAAAAAATCACTTCACTAAGCACTACTTGCGACGTGGGAGAAACACGCCGGAAATGCAATGGTGGGAACTTTTTCCCAAGTGAAAAACACGTCACAAAGTTGTGACATGAAAACCACGTCGCAATTGACAAAAAAGTAGAAAAGGTTCCCACGTGAAAACCAAGTCACTAATTAGTGACGTGAAATTCATGTGGGAAAGTGGTTTTACCAATTTGGCCTGTACGCAAAACTGACACAAGTTGAATTATTTTCACATGTGAAACCCACGTCACTAATTAGTGACTTGGTTTTCACGTGGGAACTCACACATAGTAAATCCTTTTACCATGTGATTCCCACGTCACTAATTAGTGACATGGGATGTGCTTCACTATATGATTTAATAATAATAAAAAATAAATATTATTAACTAAAAATAAATATTATTAACTAAAATTAAAATAAATATTATTAACTGAAAATAAATATCATTAACTAAAATTAAAATAAATATTAAATATTAAATTTAAAATTAAAATAATATATATTAAAAATATATACATAATATATATTCATTATTTTTAATGTATAATATATATTCATTAATATATATTCATTATTTTTAATGTATAATATATATACATAATATGTTCACTAAAATAATATAAATTCTTTATTTTTAATGTATAATATATATTTATTATTTTTAAAGTATAATATATTGATTAAAGTATAATATATATTCACTATATATTTTTAAAGTATAATATATATTTAGTAAAATAATATATATTCATTAAAATACTTAACTATTATGTTTTAAAAATCTGGATCACTAAAATAATATATTATACTAATAATAGCATATTTAAAGTATAATATATATTCATTATTTTTAAAAATTTGTTTTTCTAAAATAATATATATTATGTTTACTAAAATATAATAATAAGTATTAAATAATATAATATTCTATACTATATATAATTAATTTACTAAAAATAACACATTTAATACATATTCATTATTTTTTAATAAAAATACTTTTTCAAAAAGTAATACAATTAAAAATAACACATTTTAAATATAATACATATTCTTTATATTTTTTAAAATATATATTTTAATTTTTTCTATTTACAATAATGTTTACTATAAATATTTTTAAAAATTCTACTTTTTCTAAAATAATAGAATTGTAATATATTCTAATACATTATAACATATAAAAATTCTAATATATTCTAATATATAAAAATTCTAATATATTATAACATAATATAAAAATTCTAATATATTCTAATATTATATATAAAAATTCTAATATATTATTTTTTTTTCAAAATTATATTCTATTTCTTTAATTCCTTATAAAAAATATATCACCAACATATTATTTTTATATATCACCAACATATTCTATTTCAAATAAATATTATATATTATTCCTTATAACAAAATATCCTTATAAAAATTCTAATATAAAAATATCCTTATAAAAATTCTAACATATTATTTTTATTTTTGCTTCCAACAATACAACCAACACAATACATATATATCACCAAAATATAAAATTTTTTAAAATCTAAAATTTTCAAAACTTCCAAATACCTCAAACCTTCTAAAATCTAAAATTTTCTAACCTAACTCTCAAAATTTTCAACAACAACAACACAATATACAATTAATACAAACAAATTAAATTGCTAAAATACCTCTGAGGTATCTCTTAAAACTTCCAATGAAATTTCTTCTAAATCAATGTTAGATCTGGAAAAAAAAATTAACAGTTAATAATAAAAAAAATATGAAATAAAAGCTAACATAAAACACTCACAAAACCAACAAATACTTCACCTTAAATTTTGCTCTTATGGAGGGAAAATGGGGCTGAGGAAGAGAAACAGTACAATGGGGATGGAGGTGAAACGAATGAATGAAGGAGGAAGAAAGAAACTCAGAAAGCTAACTAATACGAAATGAAGAGAAAATCTGGAATTTGCATTTATAAAGCATGTTGCGACGTGGAATTAACTTGGCTAGTTTCCGACGTGGCAGTCACTTCGCTTGTTTGTGACGTGATATTCCCTTCGGTACTTACCGACGTGGCAAAATGGTCGGTACACTTCAGAGCCAGTTTTCTCTTTCCAGTTGCGACGTGAAATATGGGTCGCTATGTTGCGACATGGGAATAGGGTGGGAACATTCCCCCTTTATTTTATTCTTACCGTTGCTCCACTAAATGCCAACGCAACAGGTAGAAAATAATTAATGTAGTGTGTTGCGAAGTGAAAGACACGTCACAACTGAATTTCTAGAAAATTCAAAATTCCCTCCCTCTAAAAATCCAAAATTTCGTGACTGATTTTTGAAATGCAGAATTTATTAATAAAATATGTTAGTGACGTGGTAATCACTTGGCAACACATTTTGTTTCCTACGTGGTTACCACGTCACTAAATCACTAGGGAAAATGGAGTTTTTCTTGTAGTGAATGATCTCAATAATCTTAATTTATATTACCATTTCTATTATTGTGCACTCAGCAAGTTACACTTTGGGCCATGACTTATAATTATTATCTACAGTAATGAAGTATTGCATGGGATTTCATACAATTTGATTTTGAAGTTAAAGCAAAAAAACACAGCCATGATATGTACTACTGCTCTTGAGGCATTTTGTCGTGTATTGTTGACATATTGTTAGTGGAATTTTACTGTCACAAATTTATGAGATTGAATTTCTATGCTTTTCAGACAAATAGTACCATCACTATAACATGCAGCAAAACGCCAGCTTTCTTTCAATACTAATTAATTAATCTTTCTCTTTTATTAAATAGGCTTTTTAAAGTCACATAAAAAACAAAAATGATATAGGCTCCACTGATATTTTCTTAACACTCATTTTTTATTAAATAAATCTTTTAAATCTTATACTATGAAAATAAAACTCACATTAAAAGGGTCAAAACAGTTTCACCAACGAGTATTAGAGACTGTTCAAAATAACTTTTTTAAAAAAATTTAATTGAAATACACTCTTAGTGTAGTTAATTATAATTATTAAATATTTAAAAAATTTAATTTAATTTTAATTATTTATAAAATAAGATAAATAGATGATAGTGATGAATCGAAGATGTAAAACTTTTTACAGAAATTAATCTCTTTTTTTAATATAAAATCTCTGTATTTGTTAATAAAAACAAAAATATAAGATAAAGAGAGCGAAAATAGAAAAACAGTATGTAGGAACTCTTGTACTATAAGTGTCTTTCGTTTTTACTATTCAATGAGAATTGGTGTCGTTTTTACAAATATTTGATTTGAAAATTCTAATTAGAGATCCTTTATAGTGTTTTTAGTTTTTGTCTTTCCTTCTCTTTCTCGTGTATTGATTTTGTTCACTTCTTTTATTGTTTATTTTTGGATATTGTTTAATTGTTTATTTATTTATTCTATATTGGTATTTGTTTCAGTAATTTTTGTGGCGCTTTTTGATTTTCTGTTTTTGGTGGATTTTTTTACCTAAATAATTCAACTTTTTAAAAAAAATAAAAAAAGTTAATATTTTAAATTATTTTTTAAACTATCCCACTAATGTTGTTGATCGAGATGACTTAATCGACCACCAGTTCCACATCTCCTAACTATTCTAATGCGTGACTCTAGCCTACATTGTTGATTCACTCCAGATGTTTGATGATTTGAAGACCTAGAAACATCACCATCATTATCACCAGATTTTTTAAGAAGTTCAGTCAATTTCATGTGTATGGAATGACGCGCTACCAACGTAACTGGGTTCGGGACATACGCCAGAATAGCTGAGGTGTGTTTGGGTTATTGGTATGCAGTCGAACGATTGAAGGGCGACATTGATATGAGTGATACGTTGGAAAAATGTTGAAATGATTGTCGTGGTGTTTGATAGCCATATGGTTGTTGCATGTTTTAGTTTTGCGATGTTTTGGTTATGATCACTGAGTGTTTTGGTTATGACGACTATGGTAGGATGCTGCATTGTGACATATCGATGTTAGGTTGGTTTTGTGGTTAGGTGTACCATTATTAGGAGAGACTTTTAGTATAGGGAACATTGAACATTGTGAGACTTTTACTATAGGGAACATTGAACATTGTGAGACTTTTTTTTTAAAGCAACATCTTTGTGAGAGACATATCACATACTCATCTAAAATCTTAAGGTGATATGTGTTTAGATTCTTCTACTTATAAATGTTAAAGTCTCCACATTTTTAACTAATATAAAATTATTATTCATACTACTCACACTTATAATACTTAATTGAGATAGAGAATTGTGAACAACTGGTTTGATAATTTTGTGGGGATTAGACGTTAAACCATCTTATAAAGAGTTACATGTATCTATAAATGAAAATGACTTGATTGTATAGTTCTATTTACTTTTTAAAAATTAAAATATTATTTTAAATTTTTAAAGATTATATGTATGTTAATCACAATTTAACATTGAAAAATAACTAAAAATTCTATTTAGACACACTTTAGCTGTCATAAATATTTTTATAAAATTTTATTTAATTATAATTTAACTCTAATAAATTTTTAACCCTATGGAATAGTCTTCCATACACATTTCCAAAGACGAAAATGAAAAAGTTTGTTTGATATATATATATATATATATATATATATATATATATATATATATATATATATATATATATATATATATATATATATATATATATATATATATATATATATATATATATATATATATATATATATATATATATATATATATATATATATATATATATATATATATATATATATATATATATATATATATATATATATATATATATATATATATATATATATGGCTTGAAACTCTATATAAGTTACACCTAACCTCTTGCCCCACAAAGATCACCAACTTCTTTATATATAGAGACAATTGGGTAGGAGAATAATTAGCTGAAGTGATGTCTGAAATTGTTATCAACAATTTATTTGAGGAACATAATCCCACACAAATGGGGTTCATTCCTTTCTCAACAAACCTAACTTTCCCTTCTTTTGGTTGCAATAATCAATCTTTGAAAGCTTTCACTTCCATAGCTTCTTCACTTACATCTGAAATATCATCAGATTCTACATCACAAACCCTACTCACAACAACCAATCCTCCAAAACCAAAAGAGTATCTCACTTCAACCTTTGAAGCTGGAACTACTCAATTCCTATCCTTGCATAGATCCACTCTAAATCCATGGTGAGAAAAAGCTTTTTTTAATTAATTAATTAATTAACCTTTTATTATCTTCCTAATGTAATATTGTATCATATATGTTGTTTGTTTTATATATAGGGCAATATTAGGAGGAGGAGTAGGTGATCATTACTTCAATGATAATAATGATAAGAGAAGTGGAGTAGTTCATGATAATTATCATTTGGGGGTTTGTTCTAGCATGAAGATGAAGAAAATGAAGGGAAGAAAGAAAGTGAGAGAGCCTAGGTTTTGCTTCAAGACACTGAGTGCTGATGTTGATGTCTTGGATGATGGTTACAAGTGGAGAAAGTATGGACAAAAAGTTGTAAAGAACACACAACACCCAAGGTATCAACAACAAAAATAAAACTAAAAAAAACTCCTCTCTTTTACATTTATTTTGATTACTATTAATAATTTAAAAGAATTCTAAATAATAAATTAATACAATATATTATTTTAGTAAAAAAATAAAAAAAAATAAACTTTAACTTTGTATTCATTGTGTTCTAAACTTGCAACTGGTAGTTCTCTCTCCAATCTTCACACCCATCTTTTCTTCATTATTTGTTTTTTTATAATCATAATTGGTTAGCTTTATAATTTACTGGTTTCAGAAAGGTTTTAAAGTAATAATTTAATGATTCCTTTCATTACATGCATATGCAAAAGAAATTAGTTCCAAGGAGAGGTTGAAACGTTGGCAATGGTACGGATTATGACTATATAATTATGATCTTCATATAATCATGATGTTTGGGTGAAAAATAAAATATAGAGAGTTTATAAGTTTAGCTAGTGTTATTAGCAAGTTAATTGTGTGATTAATTAATATGCAGAAGCTATTATCGTTGCACACAAGAGAATTGTCGTGTAAAGAAACGTGTGGAGCGTTTAGGGGAAGATCCAAGGATGGTAATAACCACATATGAAGGGAGACATGTACACACTCCATCAAATGATCTTGAAGAATCTCAAAATAATTCTGTGTTTGACAATTTCTTATGGTAGTATAGTGCATGCTTCATTATTGTATATTTAAATAAATAAATGTATATGTTTGTTTTATGATTAAAAGAACCTAGCTATATAGGTGTGCTTTGTAGAGATGAAAATCTTCAAATAAGTATAGAGAAAGGAGTGTAATGTGTAATGTTTCTTGACATGCTGATTTTTCATCCCTTCCAAGCATACTATATATGATGAGTGCTGTTGATTTTTCTTGTCTTGCTTTTTTTAATCACATTTTGGTTATATAAATATGTGGAATGACTTTGATGAAATATCATGTTAACATTAGACTGGTTTGCTTCTTCTATTAGAAAGGTGGGGGGAATGGTACGCAAACCCGATTTTGGCATGATATATGGAACTATTAGGGATCGGGGATATGTTGATGTGTATATCGTTTGAGATGTTGTTCATCATCTCTGAGAAAAAAATTTAGGTGGTGGGTAGGATGAGAATTTAGGAGGGGGTGAAATTTTAGTTGGAGATAGAATATACTTGTTTGGGAGATTGAATTCCGGGAGGTTCTGGTTGGACTTGTTGAGAGAGTGGTTAAATCAGATCAAGAGTTTGGGTTTGGAATCGTAACTCTAGTGGGAAGTTTTCAATAAGGTCGACCTATGATCATCTCTTCTCTCTTACGGATGTAGGAGTGGGTCGAATCAAATGCTTATGAGGCTAGTTTCCTATTGGGTTAGTTTAGTGTTCTCTTGGCGATTTTTGCAAGACAGGTTGTCGGCTAGACTAAGTCTCAGTAGTAGTTGTATTTTACAGGTTGATATTGGGGTGGCTTGTGCGGCGTGTCATGGTCATGTATAGTCAGTTGACCATTTGTTCGTTGTTTGTTAGGTGGCATTGACTATTTGGTATAGAGGTTTTCAGATGTTTGTGTAGGCTTGGACATATTCCACATACGATTTTAGAGGTGTTTGAGGTTGCTCAGGGGTTAGGTAAAGGTAAGACGGAGACTTCGTTTCGATCTAACATGCAGTGGTTTGTTTTATCTACAATATGCATAATAAATTAATTTTTGTCAAGAAAGCTCGTCGGTTGATTACTTTGTGAATAAGACAATGTTTGTCTTTCTTGAAATTGAGTTCACTCCCACTTTTTGGGCCTCGACCTCTTGTCGCTACGCGAAAAATATAGAGTCGCCACTGAATTTTATTTATTTCAAAGGAAAGAGAAAGTATCGATAAAACCCCAAAAGGAGAAGAGAATGGTAGTCGCAACCAATAGTGGATTCGAAAGTCGGTTATGCAGGGGGAGATATTAGCATCTCTCGCATCCGTTGTACTCAATGGGAACCATTTTGATTGTTCTTACTCAGATGGGTGTTATTATATAAAGGTTACTTGCGAAAGGGGAAAAAGTGTTTTTAATTAGTGTGCTCGCCAAGATTTCACAATCTTGTGCTTACGTATCCTCATAGTGCAATAAGAAAATCAAAGCTTCATAGTTTATGGTAGAAATGAGTGTGTGTTGGTTGTTTTTAGTGGACGATGTTAACGTTTAGGTCCTAATAGTTAAAAGATGCTTGTATGCTTGTGAGTGTGAGACTTAAGCGTGGTTTGTATTGTGGTAGAACGAAAATAACATGTCATTTGTGAAAAGGTTTTGAATATTGCCTAAAGGTGAAAAAGTGAATTTAATGAGTTGAGATTGATTTTAGCTTTGAAAAAGTTTGTCTTGATTTGAATTGCACTAAAGTCTATGAACAGAGGCGGATTTTTTGAATAACTAGGGCCTACGTCCCATATTCAAAGATACTCAAAACAAGGATAGGAATAATCTCCCTCATTCTTCTACGTTGCTTAAGGCTCGTGGCGCACAATTCACATCATATTTTTAAGTGTTTTTTTTGGATTTATTTACAAAAATGATTTTATTCTTAAACGAACAAAGAAAAGAGAAAAGGATGGAGTCTCAATAATGATCAATGCCTTGATGTCCAGTTTGTCTATAGTGCCTTGCAAATGAAGCCTTGAACTTGGATGGTCCAGTGTAGTGCGAATACATAATGATAGTCTCATCAAGTGACCAAGAGGCTTATGGTCACTTGACTGGACAATTGGGATAGACAGATGTCAAGTGATTAGTTGATCAAAACTGATTTTGATCCACTAATCAAACACATGGATTTTTATTAGATCTAGAAACCTAAGAAAGTCAATGTGTTAATAATGCATATTAATGTCTAAAATTAGAACTAATCTAAAATTAATACCAACATGTGTATTATTCTAAAAGTAGATTTAAAGTTAAAAAAATAATACAATGAACCTAAGTGTATTATCATGCATTTTAATTTTTTCAAAGTATTTTTATGTCAAAATAGGGTGAGAAACAAGTATTAAAATGTACTTTAAAGCTAAAATGTATTAAAAAAATTAACTAAAACATATTAAAAAAAAAAAAGAAAATAGAAAATAATTAAAAAGGAGAGGCGGAAGTGTATAGTGTGTAACAAGTGGGGTAATCAGCAGTCTTGCCTGGGCTTTGAAACAGAAAGCCCAAAGCCTTGTTACTGTGTCAGGAGAGAGGTGCAGTGTGTGAAGTAGGGTGTACACAAGCAATTCAGTGTGGGCGAAGGACTTTGAGCCCAAATCATGGAAGCAAAGAGAGGAGGGGGAAATTGCCTCAACAGAGTTACAACCTCGTCGCGCCGGAAATCGCCTCTGGTGGCGGCGAAGGTTCAAACAACTTCAAATACACATCAATGTGCTCTTCCTAACTACCTCTTCCATAATCCTCTATTAATTTCCCTTGATTTCTATCCTATCCCCCAAACCGAAACAAAACAATCATGAACTCTAAGTATGAATTCAGAAATTAAATACTGCAATGGAGGAATCAAAGCCTAAATCGTTAGGTCTTTGATTCCTCGAGTCTGATTCTACATAATAGCAACACATTTAACAATGATTGGATGAAGAAGGAAGGTAGCTTACCTACCAGGCGAAGAAGGGCCCTAGTTTTGTAGGAGTTGACGTAGATGAAGATAAAAACGAAGGACAATCACCAATACTCAGGTAATCCTCGAAACTGCATCTCCTTCCCTCTCCAATTCTTCCTTCTTCTTCTTCTACAATCCCTATTTAGTCTATAGGTTCAGAAATGTTGTGTTGTTCATGTTGAATGTGTTGTTGTTGAACACATGAGATGCAGAGAGTTGAGAGTCGATTGTGTTTGCACTGAGATTGAGAGAAAAATTCTAAGAGAGTGAGAATTATGAGATTTTCGGTGAGAGATTTTGATGATGATTCCACAATGATTATAGGAGGAAATGAATATATAGAGCTTGGATTGAGTAACTAAATTGGGAAGTTTGGTCAGGTCTGTTATAGAGTTTGAGCAGAGGTTGTCATACCCCAAGTTTGTCCTACTTATACATCACATTCACCAAACATATCCATCTAACCAACCATTATTTAGAAAATCCAAAAATATGTTGTTGCGTTCATTTTTCTTGTGGTCCAAATCCAAGTTGTTGCAAGGACGAGTTAAGGATAGTGGTGAATAGATCAGGGTATCAGAAAACATAAAGTCAAGTGCTTTATGGTTGAAGATTACCAAGGATCAGATGTATTTCCCAATCAAGGTTTGGTCCAGTGTAGCGAGATTCATGGTTCAATTCATAATCTTCTGATTTTAGAAGCATTTTCATGCTCGATTGGTTCAAAATAAAGATTTTGACTTATCAGTACTCAAATGGCCAAGATCAGGTGGATTCATTTGTTATGGTTAATTAGTTTGATTCAAGGTGGGATTTTTTGATTTAATCCAAGATGAGTGGTGTTCAGGTTTAGCTGTCAAGGTTGTAAGTGTCGTGGAGGGATATTGCAAAACTCGGTCCTTACCCATTATTTTGCTTCCACTTTCCCTATCGACTATCCATTGTCCATAAACCATTTCTATAAGTCAATATCCATTTTAATTACTTTTTAGATCCACTCACATTATTCATTTCAATCCAATATCTCTTCTTTTCAAATTATCAATATTATCCAATCCATTTTTATTTTCCATTTCATACCAAATCATGATACAAAAGTCCATCCTTCCTATCTATATTCCATCACCCATAACTATTTATTTTAATTTTTTTAAAATCAATTAATCCATTTCTAAAATCCACTTTTAATGTTCAAAATCCATTTTTTTACAACATCTACAAGCCCCTTGCATTTTCATTTTTACTATAAAATTCTATGTACAAAAGACCATGAGTCCATGTTGCCATAATAAAAGCCATAATCATTTACAAAAAAGTTCACAAAGAAAGCCCATTCATATTTTTAGTCCATATTACAACCAAATAATTGCCAAAAAATGAGAAAACAAGTTGTTACAAGATTTCTCCAAAAAAAGGCTCATTAGTAGATAAGGGAGAATTGAAACAAGCTGCAACAAACAAAACCATATGTAAAACCATCCTGATGTAACCTACGGCAACCACAACCCTTGCCCTACCAATTTCCACAATATTAGCAGAACCATACCACACATAACATTTAACTTGTCCACATTCTCTACAACCTTGACCAAACTGTACGCTGCAACTAACTCATACACAAACGTCCTACTCGGTTACAACCTGCACCACACCATAACCCACAACTTTACTTGATTCAATCTACCAAATGAAGATATATACCATCAAGCTATAAAACCTGCACAAAATCCACACGTGATCCAACTGTTACGTAAACGACAAATTATTTTGCTAAATGCTAACCTAAAAAAAGCCACGTCACAGATTGGAAATAACTCACAACGCCAACAATTTGGAAAATCCCACAACGGACAAATTGTTATTTAGAAATGATTGGAGGGAGGATGATGGAAACGAAGTACCCAAAATTAAAATTCGTATGCTTTCGGATAAAATCCTACCGATGATGTACGTAAATTGTTTCAACTCCCAAACAATGGAGAGACAAGGAGTTAATCCTTATTTAACTACTTCGCGCCAAGAAGTAGTAGTTTCCTTCGTATATTCA